TCAACTGAGTGCTTTTACTCTGAAATACATGGAAGCTATTTGTTAAAAAAAAAAGATTTAAGTGAATTGCTATAATCTCAGGGTAAAATTTTAATGGATTTGAGTTGCTTATGAAGGAGTAAAGAAAGTTCTTTGCTTTCTTTACCTTCTTTTGATGATTTCCAGGGGAGGGTGAATATTGGTTTGCTTCAAGGATGTAACCCCCAAGAGGCTGCTGATGCTCCAGTGGATGACCCTATGCACATATTGGCAACTGTAAATGGACTCAATGGGTTTCAAAAGAGTACATGAGGTTGGGAGGGAAAATGGTTGGGGAATATGGGAAGAGATAGGGGGATGGAGTGGGGGAATGAATTTGATCAAAATGTGCTGTATACATGTATGAAATTCTCAAACAATAAATAAAAAATTCAGAAAAAGAAATAAAGTGCCTTTTTGAGTTTCTTTGTACCTGTGAAGGTGCTGTGAACACTAGGAAGTGAAACAAAAGATTTATCATCAAACACGAACAGTAACGACACAGTGGCATGACTACGAGGACAGATTCCAATTTTGAAAGAAATTCTGTGGTTACCCTATCAAAGAACATCATATACCATAGACAATGTTTTGTGTTGTAAGATTCATTGCTGCCTTATTTCCAGAAATTGTCACATCCACCCCAACCTTCATCAGACATCACTCTAATCAAACAGTGACATTAACATCAAGGCATGACACTCCACCAGCGAAAAAGATCATGACTCACTGAAGGTTCAGATATATGATCACTGGCATTTATTTTAGCAGTTAAAGTATTTTTAAACTATATACACTTCTTAGAAATAGTGCTCACGCACACTTAATATAGTCTAGCATAAATGTTATATATGATGAGAAGCCAAAAAATGTATGATTTCCTTTATTGGAATGACCACTTTATTGCAGTGGTCTGGAATTGAAGTACAACACCTCTGAGCTATTGCTCTATATTTCTTAATTAAATAAACTGGAAATAATTTATTTTTTAAACTGTAGAGGCTTTAAAATATAAAAATGCACCATGATCGTCCTAGAAAAGAGTGTAATTTAAGATTTTTTTCAAAACTACTTTCACAATAGGATTATTAATCTAAGACCATTGTAAGGATCAAATATTTCCAAAAAATTAATGTAAGTAATCCTATTCTAGATTGTTGTTAATTGAACCCAAAGTCAAGAAATGATAACTGCCATTAAAAATGGTTTAGAGGGGACTGGAGAGGTGGCTCAGCAGTTAAAAGCATTGGCTGCTCTTGCAGAAGACATGGGTGTGGTTCCCAGTACCCACATGGCAGTAACAACTGTCTATAACTACAGTTCCAGGGGAATCTGATGCTCTCTTCTGACCTCCCCGGGCATTGCATGACACAGTCTCAGTTGCATGCAGGCAAAACACTCATACACATAAAATAAAAATAAATACATTAAAAAAAAATTTAAAAATGGCTTAGAGGGTGGAATGATCACTTAAGTCTGGCAGGAGTTGGAGGATGCTTCATGGAGGCATTTGAGCTGAGCCATGAATGAGGAATTTGATAGGTATGATTGATATGTGGGAGCTTTAAAGTATATACACTTTAAAGTCTGGAATGAAAGTCTCTTATTGAGAAAGTGGTAGGAGCAAGAACATAGAGTTGGGAATGCACAAACTTTGCTCAAGTAATGGCAAGCCTTTCCAATTACATCTGTGAGGGGATCTTTTTAACCTCAACCAAACATCCACCAGGTGACCACAGATCACACTTGGTTCCAGTTTTTAAGAAGGGTGTAGTGCTGGTAGCATCAAGCTTTCTACTTTAGAGACACAGTGTTGGCAACAGTCTGGGTAGCAGCTGGTTATAGAGCTGCCCACCCATTATTTTCTTTCACTTTCTTCCCAAATGGCAGCTCAGTTGCAAAGGAAGAAGACTCAGGGAAGGTAACGGAGTCTCCCAGGCTCTGGTGGTACCAATAGATTTTTAAAATTCTGTGCACAGCCTTCATTGTCCCCATAGGGCATATGCTCAGTTACAAGAGTCACATTCAAGTTCAAAACATGGTGTATCTCTAGATATTTATGGTTTCAGCCCAATCGCATATGACTTATCAGTGGGAGATCATTTTGACCACGAGGAATACTGTTTTTGCACCAAAGTTCACACAATGTACTTACTAATTTTCCCAGGAAACTGAGCTCGAATGTTAACCAAAGGTCAAATTCTTATTCAGAAATTGTCCTTCATACTCAGTTCCTAAGTATAAAATATAAAACTTATGAGAGATCTTGGATCCCAAATAAAAAGTTTAGGTTTAAGCAATACCTAGTTTTTCTGTTTGTAATTTCTTACCTTAAGAAGCACAAGCCAGGTGTGGCGGCACATGCCTTTAGTCCCAGCATTTGCGAGGCAGAGGCAGGTGGATTTCTGTGAGTTCAATGCCAGCCTGGTCTACATAGTGAGTTCCAGGCCAGCTGGGGCTACAGGGAGACTGTCTCAAAAAGACCAAAAAAAAAAAAAAAAAAAAAAAAAAAAAAAAAAAAGTACATGATAAGACATATTTCAGCATAAAAATATGTAAATGTTTTTCTGTTAGTATACATCCCAGGAGAACCAATGAGAGGTCTAAATACAGAAGCATACACGCAGCCATTTTCCATTAATCTTCTGAAATAGAAATGCTTGTCCTCTTTTAGCTCTGTTGATGGTGAAATAGAAGGCTAAGGCTAAGTTTTGTGAGCACAGCAAGCAATCTGGTGCTCACAGTGCTGGGAACCTTTCATTTGTTTCTTTTCTGTAAATGCTCAGGCAGCATAGGTTCTAATGTTTTGTGAAGGAAAGGGCACACTTTTCCAAACTACATTTACAAGTAAGAAATCTCAGAGACTTCATCTGATAGTTTTTTCAGGTAATAGTCTCTCAAAGGGTGAATGCCATCAGGTGGAAAAACTTTTTTTAAAAAACCTGAATTCAGCCCCCTAGTATTATGTACAATATAGCAGTTTATATCCACTGGTGAATCAATAAATAACTGTTCAGTAGCTTACCAACGCCATCGTTAGCCTCCCAGGCCATAATGCCTGCCTGAGAACCTGCAGTTCCTTCCCCACCTGAAACCTATAGCAAGAATCTGGTGGGGCTGGAGTGATGGCTCAGCAGTTTAGAGCACTGGCTGCTCCTGCAGAGGACCCAGCACCCACATGGTAGCTAACAACAGTCCATAACTCCAGTTCCAGGGGCTCTGATGCCCTCTTCTGACCTCTGCAGGCATTGCACAACATGAGTGTACTTACCTACATTCAGGCAATACACTCACACACATAAAATAAAAGTAATAAATGAAATATTAAAAAAGAAACTCTGCCCTCTCTATCTCAGCCTACTCAACCTATCTAACAAGTCTCCCTTCCAGGAGGAAGAAACTGTTGTGGTTTGACTACAAAGTGTCTCCCTGAGGATCATATGTTTGAAAACTTGATTCCCAGCTGGTGGCTGTTTTGGGGGACTGTGGAACCTTTGGATCTAGGGACATAGCTGACAGAACTGGGTAGCTAGGGGGCAGGCCTTGAGAGTTATATTTACCTCTGGCTCCAATTGGAGCTTTTGATTTCCTTATCCTCCAAGACACGAACAAGTCATGCTACAAGCCCTCACTGTCACAGCCTGAGCCACGTCAGCTGCCATGCCTTTCCCACATGATGGATTTCTCACCATGATGGACTGTACCCTCTAAATTCTGAGCCAAAATGAACTTCTAATCATTCTCTATGTTGCTTCTGTCAGGCAATGAAAAAGCAACTAACATAGAGATTTGTTATCTGCTTACCATGGTGACAAGTAGTCTACCTAGCAAACTATGTCAATATGTAGATGGAGAGCTGCTTTCCTCCTTCCAGGCAACATGCTGAAGCTAGCAATGTGACTTAAAGATAATGCCAAAGCAGCCCTCTCCTCCATGTCCCACACACCTCACATCAACCTGGACTCACTGTTTAACTTCTATGATGTGTTCAAAGTGTGACTCTAGTCTTTGCCCACATGAAGCCATAGTCTAAGAACAGGGTACAGTCAAGACAAGCAAAACGGATATCTGAATTGGCCTCCTGCCTCCTTAGAAGTAGAGGCAGAGTGGTGCCACCTCTGCTCCTTTATGGTCCACTGAACAACCAGCACACTCTTGCTTATGTGTTTACACTAACTGTACTCCTTACAATGTGTAGGTGTTGGTATAAATTCTGGGTTAGGGTGCTTTTCATGTTGGGGTTAATAGAAGCATGTGATCAGGAATCCAAGAAAATAAATTTATTGAACTTTAAAGGGAAAAATCCACAGACATAAAGAAAGTTAAATACAGATTGCAGGACACAACTAGTCGTACTGTGAATAATGGCTTGTGTGGCCAGCAAAGTACCAAAATGACATTCTGAGACTGGTTGAGGTATTTAGCTATATTTGGATATAGAAATGTGATCAGCCTATGGTGAAATGGTAAGATAGTTTGTCCAAACACACAGCTTTCCATTGAAATTGAATCTTAAGTTGATGATATTTTATATGAAACTAAATTATGCAGCTCTTGGGGAAAAACCGTAGCAGCAAGTTAGCAGAAAATCTATTACAAATCTATTACAAAGTAGCATGTTGAACTTTAAACACCAATTCTAGATTTTTCAATCTTTCCTGCGAGAAAGGAAATTTAACGTTATTAAATATTAAGCTTGCTTCTCACAAAGGTCTCATAAAATGGTAAATACTATTGAAAGTTAAAGCTAACTTTAAAGTTTTAAGCTGTTAAAAAATATTTAAACTGAGATGTTTTCTTCAGTGGGTAGGGAGTCCTCTCTCTCTCTCTGTCTCTCCCTCCCTCTCTCTCTCTCTCTCTGTCTCTCTCTCTCTCATAACTCTTTTAGGGAGCTATCACAAATAATTATGTTTATGTTATTAAGGAATCAGAAAGTAATTTATTTATTATGTAGCCCCCCTGTTTTCTATCTTGTTTTAGGTCAATCTTTCCAGAAGGGGAAATAAGAGATGCTGAAACTATTCTTACTACTTTAAAAAATACTCACTATGTAGACCAGGCTGGCCTTGAAACTCACAAAGAATGGCCTGCGTCTGCCTTCCAAGTGCTGGGATTAAAGGTGTGAGCCACCATGCCTACATAGTGAGTTTCATTCTACACAGTGAGTTCCAGGACAGCTGGGGCTACAAGGAGACCCTGTCTGAAAAAAAAAAATACTATAAAAAGTTTGATGAGAAAGTTTCTGCAATTGGTTTAATTAATCATGAGTTATCCTTTGTGATGGAAAACTCATTTCTACTTTTCCTTATTACTATGAATAGACACATATTATGTGTGTGGCTGTAGGCTGAGAAACAAAGACCTAGGTCTTCAACTTTCTGTTCTATGACTTGGTCGACTTCAATCTGCTTGATTTATGAAATTCTGCTTGTACCTATTCATTCTCAGGTTGCTGTGGGATCAAACCAAGCTGTGTTTGAAGAGCTGGCCCTGAAGAAGCGTTGGAGCCTCTTATGATCTGCATGCTCCTAAAGCCTCACTCCACGAGCTTTTGCAGCCGTTCAGCATCCTGACCAACCTTAGCCACCTTCACCTGGATTTCTTTTAGCATGTAATTATCTGGTTTGAACTGAAATTTGATGAAGAACGTTATTTATTGTTATTATTTCTGTAATTATCATATGGTTTACTGATCTCTGAGAAAATTTTAAAGTTTTCTAAATTAAAAAAATATTTGCTTAAAAATTTAAAGTGAGTATGTTCCAATAATGCAGGATATTAGATATTTTAGACTTAAGAACTTTTGGGAAGTATAAAAAGGGCCTTTGTAAAAAACTAACTTGTTTGTTTTCCTTTAGGGGCACTGACCAAAGCATTAAGCCAACTTTACACTGTAGTTGCTAAATCCTTAGATGGATGACTGTGAACTACAGTACAGTGTGTAGTGTATTATAAAACAGCCATGCTTAGAGTGTAAGTTATTAAAAATATCTTTATCAGTTTTATGTCAAAATAAATGTTTTATATATCCAAACTAGTTTTACCTTCTCACCTAGAGTTTTAGTTCCTAGTTATCTAAGAAAGAAAAAAAAATTAGCCTGTGCTATAATTTGCATTCAATTTCCTGAACTGCGAAAGCCACCTGATTGTTTTGCTTTTTCAAAAAGCATGATTTACAATACATTAAAACACAGCTATTTAATGCTTAGTATCACAAAATTAAGACCCACAATTATAAGACAATCACTGCCACTAAACAGTCTGAGAGACAATTCTCTAAAATATTTATAATTCAGGATGGGAGTATCTATCTGATTAAGCATTCTTATTTTTCCATTTTAAGATAATGTTTAAACATTTCACGAAAAGGCATTTAGAATCCACACCCACCCTCACACTCTCCCAGTGAAGATTAAAATATAGTTTTGGTTTAAGCATTCATGCCCAGCCAATTCTTTGCCACGAAAGATGTTGCTAAGGGAAACAGAAGATAGGCTACTGCATGATTTTGTTCAGTTGGTCTGTGCTCACGTAGCCACACGATGAGAGGAACCCTTTTTTGTCAGGCAAAGGCAAAGCAGTCGCATTGAGTACAAGGCCCTCTGGAGACTGCACTGTGTGAACGGAGGTATAGTCCGGGACAGGCATCTCTGCGCTTGGAGCAATCTCTGCTGTCTCAGACCTTCCAGCAGTAGTGGTAAGGCTTTCTGTGGTGATGTAAAAGTCTTCCTGGTTAAAGCTTGGGTCTACGCGGGACTTGACTTCCATATGAGGGGCCACTGCGATGCACTTTTTGGCGTCTGCCTCGCAGAAGTAGGTGCTGTCCATGTTGTAATTTGCTTGGCAGGGTGTGACCACCTCCGGATGCATGTTGCACTGGGCTATTCCTGCCTTAATCTTTTGGCCTGGAGAAAGGACAACACTTCCTGCTGGTGTTATGTCGCTTACTTGGGCATAAAAGTCGATGTTCGCTAGTGAAGAAGGATTGCTTATCTGGGTAGAAGCAAGTTGGTGGATTGACTCAGCTTCACTAATAAGTGGTTGTGGTTTGTCTTCCTCCGTTAGGGCGATGCTGGCATGCTGAGTGGCAGGGGAAGCATCAACAGGTGAGTTCTTTTGAGTCTTCTGGTCAAGGCACAAGAGATCGGCTTCTGCTTTTAAACTTTGCAGCTGAGCAAACTCTGAGGAACTATCACACATATCACCAGCATGGAAATCACTGTCCAGAATGTCAGGGTCATAACAGCTGGTGCGCCCAGAATCATCGTCCTTTGCTCCAAGGATATTAAGTGATTTCTCATGGTGACTGCTTAGAAGTCTGTCTGTGTCTGACCCTTCAGTCTTTTCATCAGCATCATCAATATCTAGCTCGATAAATTCAACCCAGGAGTCATCATTGTAGAATTCAGGTTTGTAGTTATCATGAATGGCTAAGATTGTGTTCACCTCCTCTAATTTTCCTTCCTAAGAAGCAGAAAGAAAATGGAGATCTATGCAAAGAAACTAGTTATAACGATTAAATAATTTTAAATCTGATGCATGGAGATTGCAAAATGACTCTAACAGATGACAGTATTTTTCAGGTATCATTCAGTTAGAATGATCTACAGTTTTGATAGAGTTTCTAATTACCTTAAGAAGATCTGGATCAATTCCTTTAATCTTTGGAACTGGGACTGGGGGCAAAATCAGCATCTTAATCCTTCAAAACAAATAAAGTTTTGTTTTCATATATCTTAAAATTACATGTTCTCTTATTTCAAAGGACATAAGTAAATGTAGGCAGTATTATCACTTATTCTAAATATTCTTATGTAGGTGGAATATAAGAAATGGAGGGAACTATTAAACAGCGGGTGATGAAAAAGATTGCCAAAGAGAAAGCATCACAACAAAAATCCTTCATCTAAGATCATTTAGATAAAATGTGTTTTTTTCTATAAACATTTTTCTTAAAATATTATTGATTTATTTATTCATATTTTATGTGCATGAGTGTTTTGCCTGCATGTATGTAAGTGCACCATATGTGTGCAATGCCTGCAGAAGCCAGAAGAGCCCATTGGATCTCTTGGAACTGGAGTTACAGACTGTTGTTAGCTTCCATGTGGGTACTGGGAACTGAACCCTGGTCCTCTTCAGGAGCAGACAGTGCTCTTAGCTGCGGAGCCATCTCTCCAGCCCTGTAATCTTTTTCTTAATGCTTTTTATTGATAATCAATTTGGTAGTGAGAAAGTGAGTGAAGCTAATTTCTGTGTAATTTATAAAGAAAGCATTTTAATGTATAAAATATTAATAATTTGAAGGAAAAATAATGAAAACAATTCAATACATAAAAAGCAACCAAACTTATCTATGCCCTTGAAAAAAGAATGGGCTGGGATAAGTTAGCACCACATAGTTCTTAGTAAATATAAAGTCATTTAAGATGATCTTTAATCAGATTGACATTTCATGGGTCATTTAAAACAGGAAAGCATAAATCTGAACTGTCTCTAACTAATAGGATAAATTTATATACATACCTCTATGATGTGGTTACATTTTTTCTTCCAAATACTGAATTTTTAATTAAAAAAATTTAAGAATTATTTATGTGTGTGTGTATGTGTCTATGTATATGACACATATGTGTGGGTGTCTACAGAAGGTGTTGGATACCTTAGAGCTAGAGTTACAGGTGATTGTGAACCACCTGACATGGGTGTTGGGAACTCACAGTCCTCTGAAGAACAGAAACCTCTCTTAACTGATGAGCCATCTCTCCAGCCCCTGAAATTATTTTGATTGTAATGCATTTAAGTGTTTATTCTACTTATCTCCTGCATTGTTGAATTAGCACTTAGTACAATTCTTGACACATGGAAATTTTTCAATAAGTATTTCTTGAATAGATTTTAATAAATCATTTCTTTGTTAATAGCACAATTGGACTTTAAATCATAAAATCAACAGGGTGAGTTTAAGGATCTAGCTCAGTGGTAGAGTGCTAGTCCAGCATGTACAAGCCTTGGGTTTAATCTCTAGCACTGCAATGAATAAAAACCAGAGTAAAACAAAATTTAAAAAGTCACACAGCAGCACTGAAAAAGAAGCTTGGGTATTCATCATCCCAACCAACTCATTTTATGGTTAAAAAACGTCCCCAAAGGGCTGGAAAGATGACTAATTGGTTAAGCACTGGCTACTTTTCCAGAGGACCCAGGTTTGGTTCCCAGTACCAACATGGCAGCTAACAACCATTTGTAACCGTGGTTCCAAGGGATCTGACACCCTCTTCTGGCTTCTGCAGGCAAAAGGCACATGGTGTATTTACATACATGCAGGTCAAACACTCATACATATAAATAAAAATGTGTGGTATAAAAACAAACAAACAACAAACAAAAAATCTCCCCAAGTTTCCAGAAATGCCACTGCTCGTCAGGAGCTACCTGATTGATGAATCTCAGTTGGTATTTCACTCAGTGTGAACGGACTGTATGGTCTACTCATCAATGAACACTTTTTCTCAGTAATTATACCCAGCATATAGCTAATCTAATATAGCATAATATACCATAGATGCAAGAAAAATATTAATAGTAATTACTGTCACTTTGAATGTCTCTGATAAGACAGACTCTGTGAAATATGTTTTGCACTATAGGTTGGCACATTGTAGCCTGTGGGTCTACTCTGGCCTGCCAACTGCTTTTGTAGATGTTTTATTGGAACACAACCATGTTCATTCATTTACTGATTGGTTCTGCTTGGGTCTATACCTCAATGAGGAACTGAGTGACTGTGTTGCAGGCATGGCCCCTAAAGCCTAAAACCTTACCACATTGTTATTTACAAAACAAGTTGCTTGACTCATGCATTACACATTTTCTCTAATCCTTACAGCTAACAGGAAGGGAGATGATATTATCTGTGCAAAACTTTGTACTTTTAAGGAACATGCTGAAATCATGCAGGAATACTTGGCAGGGCTGGACCCAAAGTACCTGGCTCCAAAGTCAGGCTGTCTGCCCTCTAGGATACTGCCCTGTTACTTGGTTTTGTATCTCTAAATGTATATTTCAAACTTTCAAGGATATTGAAAAAATGCAAAGTAACCCTAATTATAGGAAACATAGATTCTCAAATGGTAATGTTTTATTTTTGTGACATGTATCTCCTTTTCAAAGGGCACGATCTGTTTTGGCACGTTAGTGGCTTTATATGGTTGTGATGACCTTATGCCACACTGGAAGACCCTGAGGCCCCACGTGTCCAAGCTGGTCATGGAAATCAATGACACAGATTACTGCAAAGCTATTAGGAAGATGATGGTAGTGTAAGGTGAAGTGTGTGTTTCCCTCTCAAATGGGAGAGCCAGTTCTCTGCTTCTGCGCATGCACCATGAAGGAAGATCAGCTTGATTTAACCTCACATTTCAGTGTTAAGGGAGGAAACTTAAGTGTGGTAATGTAAATATAACAATACACGTGATTGGAGTGGTCATAGATCTTGGAGGGAACCCCAAGATTGTCACATCACTAGACTATTGTGATTTCTTACTATGTGCAAAATATGTATTCTTATATTTACAGACAAATACCCCAGTCACCACTCATCAAAGAAGCTCATTTTGTACCAGAGGCTATTACCAAGTACCACAACTGGTCACATACAGATATTGTCTATGAATTGCCCAGGCCTAAGTAACACATCTACAATGCAACCTCTACACCTAAGGCTCATGGAACACAGAACAAGGATAAAGAAGAAGATACTAATGAATTTCTCAGCTCTCGGTGATATTCGCTTATACAGCAGAGGGCCAGGAACACAAAAGGTCACAAATAGCCAAAGTGTAGAGTTTAAGAGTTTGCTGAATGATGGTCATTGGACAGGACCCCTTTATTAAATTTCACCCAACCAAGGCTCAGGGACCATCGTGGAAGAGGGGGTGGAAAGACTGTAAGAGCCAGGGAGGAATTGCATGACCATATGGAAATAGAGTCCTACAAGTTCCTGGGAACCTGCTTATATGATTTTATGGCAATGGTGTCAGAATATACAAGTCCCATGCAAACTGAGGCAGACAATAACCCAGCATAGAACTGGGAAAATGAACAGCAGAACTTAATCTTATCTGATGGAATGTTGGCAACTTATTGCTGCTAGATGAAGAAGAGCTGATCTTCCTAAAACAAGGGGCACTAGATAGGCTGACTAGACTCAGTGGATGGACTTGCACTGGGGAATGGCTAGGGATACCGACAACTCAGTGGGCCTTAACAGGGATGGCAGAGTATATGGACTCCAGTATGTGTGTGAGTCTATGGGAGGGTGCTGGTGGGGACAGGGGTATAAAGATGATTCAGTTTGTTTGAGATGTTCTATATGAAATACACAAAAATCAATTTTAAAAAAGGCTTATTAAAAAAAAGATAGCTCAGAAGGCTCATTTTATTTTTCTGTGAAAGTTCTCATGCTCTATAGTGAAATCTTCATTCCAAAATAAATAACAAAAATCACAATCTGGACTTGCAGTATGAATTTAGAATTCACTTTCCCATTTCTGTTTTATGCTGATGTAGTTATTTCTTTTCTGAATTAATAATAGCTCAAAGGCTGATAGGTCCAATGGTAGGAACTATTCAGTTTGTATTACTTAATTCAAACATATGAGTTACAGTGTACATTTTGCCAGCTTTGAATTTTAATTGTCTGGATTAAGACAGGGTAAAGTAGCTAAGATAAAGAATTGTGACTCACAAACCTTCGAAGACATGATGAACCTGAAGCCCTTGACATGTCTGAAGTTTGAGCAAGGCTGACAAAAGCGCCTTTCTTTGGAGTAGTTTAATTTTGGAATGACATTTCATTTCCATACCAATTGACAGTATTTTCTATCATTTTGTATAACATGCAAAATTTGGACAGTAATAAAACTTTCTATGGGAAAATGAAAAAAATTATGTTTTTCTACAAAAACTCAACATAGGAAAGCAGGAGTGCAATAAAGATTTCAAACAAATTCTACAATTTGGTGATTTTGACCAAGTATTTACAGTTTGTTTAGAGCTTCATTATTCAAAGAAAATGAGCTTTCAGAAAATGTGGTACATATACACAACAGAATTTTGTTCCTCCATAAAGGAAAATGAAATGACAATATTTGCAGGAGAATATAGAGATCATTATGTTCAGTGCAGTAAGCCAGATGCAGAAAGACAAACATTGCCATGTTTTAACTCATGTGTGGAATGTAGATTTAAATTTGTATGTGTCCATATACATGTAGGAAATGAAAGTAGAAAGAGTATTATTAGGGATGAGGAAGAGGTTTAAAGGCACAAGGAGCACAAGAGGGGATGATGTAATACACATGCCATCAAGCGGTTGGAGGAACTAGTCAGGGGAGGAAGGGGACCAGCAAGAGGGGGAAGATGGGAAGAAGATGATAGAAGGGAATCTGAACAATGTTTGGGATATATACATATGTGTGTGTGTGTGTGACAGAGAAACCCATTTCTTTGTCTCCTAACCAAATAATAAAAATCATAATGACAATAATATTCTTTTAGATAGAGGCTGGGCTGATTAGGTAGCTCCATTGGTACAGTGCTTACCTAGATGTATAAAGTTCCAGGTTCAATTCCTAGTATCACATAAACCTGGGGCTGGTGGTATATACCTGCGATACTACTACCACCCAGGACGTGGAAGCAGGAGGATCAGAATTCAAGATCATCTTCTGCTACATAGTAAGTTCTAGGTCAGCCTGAACTAAAAAAACAAAACTGAACAAAAACATAGAGACTAATGTTTTCTTTGAAATCCTGTTTATTGTTAGAATGGTATTTCATTGCAAGTATTGTTGACTAGTGTAATCAGACAGCCCTGCATGCTTTCTTGACCTTCATTATGACTTGTAATGAACAACTAGTGTTAAACGTGAATGGCTTTCTATACTTAGTGATTTAAAAAAATATTTTATTATTTTTATCTTATGTGTATGAGTGTATTGCCTACATGTGTAAGTGCAGCCTGTGTCCTGTAATGCCCACAGAGGTCAGAAGAGGGCACTGAATCCCCTGAAACTGGAATTATCAACTGATGGTTATTAGCTGCCATGTGGGTGCTGGGAACCAAACCTGGGTCCTCTGCAAGAGCTGCCAGTGCTCTTAACCACTGAGCCATCTCTCCAGCCCAGTGATTTTTTTTTTTTTTTTGAGACAGGGTTTCACTATGTAGCCCTGGTTGGCCTGGAATTTTCTATGTAGACTAGGCTGGCCTCCAACCCACAAAGATCTGCCTGCCTCTGCTTCCTGAATGCTGGGATTAAAGGAGTGCATCACCACACCCAGCATACTTAGTGATTTTATCTACTCTAGTTACAAATAAATTAGTTCACCAACTCCACAGATGAATGAACTCAAATCAATAAATGGAATAATTTGACTCTTATTGGCATTATTTAAGTGCATAAATTACTTAAAATTCTAAAAATATATTAATTTTTCTGAAATAATCAAAAACTCTGTTCCAATTATAGTGGTTGCTTTTGCAAAATAGAAATATGGCTAAAATGCTAAGTGTAAGATGAAATTATGCAGTGAGTTTTGCTTTTCCAGTAGTTTACATTATAAAATTGAGCATGAAACCTTACTAAAAATACAGTTCATTCTTCTGGAGTCTTCTAATATGCTGACAACTCAAGATGCTTGCATTCCATGAATTCTTTCTAGAAAAATTCTGTTTTGAGGTTTACAAATTTTGAGGTTTGAGCATGCTAGACTTAAAACACGCTAGGCCTTAAAACAAATTGAAAGTCTATACCAGATATTTATAGATTCCATTTTGATTCACCCATGTCTCTCAGCTTCAGCTGAAGAACCTGATTTCAATTCCAGGTAGAGCGACCAACTATACTGACTGCCTAGCACTGACTGATTTCCCAGGACACAGAAGCTGCAGAGCAAAACCCAACTGAGTCCTAGGAAACTTGAAAGTGACAGTCACCTCTGATCTAGAAAGAGGGTCATGGTCATGATTTTAAAATCTCTTAAATGTAGTCAAACTGCAACCTGTAGCAATCATTTTTCCTTCATGTTACATAAAATGTTTTCTACAGTGTGGACTGAGTTCAAGAAGGAAAATGTAGCTTTAGTTTCCCACTTCCATTTTGTTTTCCAGCACACAATGGCTGCATCAGATTCAGCCCAAGGCCTAGGGATACCATGGGGTCCTGGAGTGAAGGGGGCAACTTGTTGAAAACCTGAGGGGGAACAGATAAGGTATGTACAATGCATACGCAGTCACTAGCCTAGGCCTGATAATGTCCTACGGAACTTCCCAATCTAAGTTTTCTAGGATCAACACAAGAAATTGAGTTGTATAGAAGTGGTAAATGCATAACTGGAAATTACGTTTTCTTCGGGGTAATTAAAATATCTGTTCATAGTGTACGAGAGAAAAATTCAGATAACACATGGAAACCCACAAAATGTAAACAATTTGCAAAAACATATTAAAGAGGCCATTTCACACTTACCTTTGCTGTTTTGAGAAAATAACTACAAATAGCATCAGAGTTAGTCCAAATATCCCAAAGATGATAATTAAGAACCACGGAAACTGTAAATCTGAAATATGAAAGAATATTTTACCAAAAGAATTATGAACAATTGAAGCAAGGTTTAAATTTCACTGTCCTTTTCCACATAAAAATATTTGCTAATTTGCATTTTTTTTTCTGGAGTGGAGGACAGAACCAGGGCCTTGTGCTTGCTAGGCAAACATGATCACTGAGCTAAATCTCCAGCACTCTAGTTTGAATTCTTATGGCAAACTTAGTGATCTCACTTGATAATCATTGAAACAGAAGGGAATGTCTTAGGGATTTGTTCCTTTCCCTTAGGAAAACACAACATGTCTGTCCACTGTTCAAATCCCTTTACATTAAGAAAAGTCATTCAAAATGAAAAACATACAGCTTAAACATGATGCAAAAAGACTAAAAAAACTGATTTAAGCATCTTATATGTCCAAAGAATGTCACTAAGGGCTTCAGAGCTAGGAAGAAACTGTTGCTTGTTAAGCCTGAGTAAATAATGTCCATTTGATTTTTTTTTAACTGATGTTTTTTAGGATGTATCCACATTGAGGATATATCAAAAAGATGAGGGTGAAGTGTTCAGGTACAAACCACGACATACTAAGAACTGTAGAATATATTTTTATAGATTTAAAACTGTGTGTTTATGTATATTTTACTGAGGTTCTTCAGATTTTAGTATACTTTAAATATGTTTTGAGAGAATTTGTCTGTGAAACTACAATTTATTACCTTGAGACTAAATGCCTCCCAGGAAGCTCAAAATAAGTTCTCAGTATTCTTATCACAGAGGCAGAAGCTAACTACTTTTTAATAAAAAGGAAAACTGAAATTTAATTCAAAAAGAAGCCTTTACAGCTTAATATGCTTTTCTTATTTAATGTTATTAAAGTACCAGTGAGAAACTGTGTATATTTTTAGGAATCAGTGGGGAAAATAATTCCATTCTGGATCTTTGTGGTGTCTGTAATTTTCTTTTAAATGGTTTTATTATTTTCAGTTTATGTGTATGTGTGTATTGCCTGCATGTATGTAAGTGCTCCCATATTGTGCAATGCCCATGGAGGTCAGAAGAGGGCATCAGATCCCCTGGAACTGGAGTTACAGATGGTTGTTAGCTGCCATGTGGGTGCTGGGAACTGAACCTGGGTTCTCTGCAAGAGCAACAAGTGCTCTTAACTGCTGAGCCAACTCTCCAGTCCTGGCATCTGTAATTTTTTATATTAGTGATATATCTAAGCACATAAGAAATCAGAGGTTCACATTTTCTTAGTACAGAAAAGTCATTTTTAAAAAAATGTTATGTTAAAAAAATTTAGTGCTATTATATCAAGCTTAGAGTGTATATAGCAATTATAGATTTTAAACTGTAACAACATTGTATGAAATCTTATTTTAAAACAGATTTAATTATTTTAACTGACTAGTTAAATTAGAGTTTGGAAAAAGTGATGTAGAAATTTTCATCTTAGTGAGAGTCTACCTGTACAGTAACTGCAGAAATTTATATTTAATTTTACTATAGCTTATGGTGGTTTGGGGAACATCCCTTAGCTCCTCATAAGTCTGTATAAACTGTGCTCAGTAGAGAAAGGTGATAGTAATTCCTGTTTGAGAGGGGCAACATTGTGCAGCTGCTCCTCCTATTAAACACTTGTCTTCATTTTTTAAAAAATATTTTATTTATTTTTATTTTATGTGTATGAGTGTATTGCCTGCATGTATGTGAGTGTACCCATGTTGCGCAATGCCATGGAGGTCAGAAGAGGTCTTCAGATTCCCCTGGAACTGGAGTTAAGGATGGTTCATAGCCACCATGTGGGTGCTGGGAATTGAACCCGGGTCCTCTGCAAGAGCAGTCAGTGCTCTTAATCGCTGAGCCATCTCTCTAGCCCTATTGTCTTCATTTTTATATCTAAACATTTCAATCCTCTTATTCTGAATTCATTAAAAATCCCCTCAGTCATCCTTGTGATTATCCTGTGTGGGATCTTCAAATGTTCCATGTCTCCTTTGAGTGTCTAATGAACTTCTTACTGGACTTCCTCTAAGTAAAACATCATACCTGCACTTCCCAAACCCTGACCACTAACTAACTTTTCTTCCCTGAGCATAAGATAAATTCATATTTTTTATGGATACAAATTCAAAAGAAACTCATTGCAGAAAAAATTAGAGATATAGAAACATACAAAGAAAAAACAAATCTTCCCCCAAATCTATTGTTCAAAGATAACCACCATATTCCCTTATCTGAGTTTCCATCTGACCTGTGGCCTTTCCTAAACTAAATAATTTGGAAATGAAACCTTTTGCTTTTTCAATGAATAAATCTGCTACAAATAGTGACTATAACATCTCTCTCATGGATATTTGAAGCTATGGTGTACTGATTTGGACAATATACTAAGAGTGTAGGTATATATCAGATATTATGATGCTAGCTGACATTTAGACACACACACACACACACAGACACACACACACGTTTTTACCTTCTGTACAAGTGAATGCGCTCACTTGAGGAAGTGTTACATAGAGCACCTCACTGAACTCGCTGTACTTTTCAAAGCTTCGCTGTCTGGATCTCACACGTACTTCATATTCTTTATCTAGTCTCAACGAGTACAGTGGAACTGATGTTGCCAACATAGGGTCCATCTTTCAAGAAAAATAGAAAACATTGCCTCAAGCATCCATAACTTAATGCACAAATTCTTTGAGTGTTTCCTCATATGTATTCAAAATGATTTCTAGAAGATGAGTAATATTTAATGCCCAGAGGAAGTCTGCTATTTAATAAAATAGACAGAGACAATTGCTGAGGAGAGGAAACTGTCCAATCAGCTGAGCCTCCTGCAAGTTGGACAGAGAGCGCCAGAGACGTCGCTTTCCTACTTTTGCTGGGGTGCGCTATTTAGGCATATACTCCTAGTCAACCTTACCTGTGCTCCTCAATAAACTCACTGGTTCAGTAAGCTAGGGGGAATTGTTTCTTTGCTTTGTCTCTGTTGCCCTATCCAGGGTGAACAGGCATTTGTTTACATGTCTCCAGAAAATGTCATCCAGCAAAAAGTCTCTGGAGGGAGACTTTTGATATTGGGCATTAGAATTTTACAGCTCTTAAAGTGGGGATATTCCTTTATCTTTCAGAGAAAGGCAGTCAGAGCAGAGCATCGGCCTTTCATGGCATTTTGCTATCAAGAGGTAGACCCAACTCATCATGATGTTTTCACCCAAGTCAAATACCCAAAGCAGGTGGGGATAATGTGCTTTTTATATATTTTTGAGTAGAACATCTTGTTCCTGTTTATAGAAAACTTGGTATACTTACTCTTTCAACATCATTGATTTCCACATAAAATCCTTTTAATCTGTTTTACAAAGCCAGAAGCTGGGTCTTCAGCATCTTACACAGATTTGTCTTTCACTCTAGTTGTCTTCTACTCACAAAGCACTTGTATTTCTTCCCCATGTGTCTTTTTACAGGAGCCTTTGAATATATGTAATATTTGCATGTGTAAAATGCTTTCCTTAAAGCAGGACTTTGAATATTAAACTTTCTTTGTTTCATAAACTATTTTAAATGACATTGCTTTCTTGACTTCTAGTTCAGACAATTCAGTATCGGCATATAAAATGGCACTTATTTTTGTGTGCTGTTTTGTGTTTTGCAACTTTGTTGAATTAATTTATTAGTCCTAATAGATTTTGGTGGAGTCTTTGTATTTTGTCTATATGAGATGACATAATTTGCAATAGTGAATATTTCATTACATCTAAATTTCCAGTTTAGATGTTCTTTATTTCTTGGAATTGTCTGATTACTTTGGCTAAGACTTCTAGTATAACTTTAAATAAAAGTGTTGAAAGTGAGTATCCTTTTTGTTATACATCTTAGAGAGTAAGATTTCAGTTTTTTCCTATTAAATACTTTGTTAGCTGTGGGTTTATGTATGGCCTTTATTATGTTGAGGTAAGTTCCTTCTTTATCTAACTTGACCAGAATTCTAATCATGAAGGGATGGTGAATTTTGTACTTTTTTTCTCTATCTATTGAGATGATTAGATAGACGAAAGACGTCAAGAGATAAATCTAGGCACTTATAGCCAATTGAGTTTTGGAAAGGGGGTTAAGAATAAAAGTGAGTCTGTTCATAGAGGGTATTGAGAAATATGTATATCAACATGCAGAATCAAATTATAGCTGATCTCAGAGTGGATACACAAATCAATTCAAAGTATATTAAAGACTTAAATATAAGGTCTGAAATCTTAAAGTTACTTGAAGAAATCTTAGGAGAAAAACTTGTTGACATTGATTTGGGCAGTGAGTTTCTTCATATGACTCCAAAAGTATAGGGAATAAAAGTGAAAATAGACAAATGGGATTATATCAAACAAGGTTTTGCACAGCAAAGGAAACAACTAAGTAAAGAACAGTCTATGGAACGGGTGAAAAATCAATGGCATATTTATATGCCGACAAGGAACTATCCCCAAAGAAAGCAGGAAGAAGAATCTCATTTACAATAGCTACAGTGAAAAGATACTTAGGACTAAATACGCTTGTACTTAACAGGAAGGAGAAGATAGATATCTGCAAACCAGTTATCTGATAAGAAGTCAATATCCAGAATATACAAAGAACTCACATGGCTCAATAAAAGAAAACTAATTTTAACAAATGAAGAAAGCACTTGAACAGACACTTCAATAGACATTCAAATGGCAAAAAAGCCCCACACTAAAACATGCTCAAAATCCTAATCATCAGGAAAATACAAGTCAAAATCCATAAAGCAATAGTTCCACACTGCAGTAAGAATGACTACTATAAAAAAGACAAGAGACGAATGTAGGAGAATATGTGGAGAAAAGGGAATTCTTTCTTATTGTTTATAGAAATGAAAATTAGTAGAATCACTATTGAAAAGAATATAGAGGTTACTCAAATAATTAAAAATGAAGCTACTATATGATCTAGCAATCTTACTAATGAGTTTATAATTAGAGGAAGTGAAATTAGCATATTGAAGTGATATTTGCATGTTCATGCTAAGTGTAGAACGCCACACATAGTTATTAACTATAGGCTCTATTCAAGATAGGCCAAGATATGGGTCAACTGGGGTCCATCAATGGATGAATAGGTGAAGAAATAGGATTCATAGAGAATGGAAAACTATGACCTTCAAAAGAAGGGAACTTATTATTTTGACAACATTGATGACTGTGGAATACATGAAGTAAATCTCACAGGCACAGGAAGACAAATTCTACATGATCTCACTTATATGTGATATCAAAAAAGGTGAACTCAGAAGTAGACCCAAGAATTGTGATTACCAGGGGCCACAGGGATGCTGGTTAGATAAGATGTTAGTGAAAAGATATGAAATTTCAATTAGATAGGGGAAATCTCTTTAAGAGATTTATTGTACAACATAGAGCCTATAGTTAAAAACTATGTGTAGCATTTTGAAGTGTGAGAAAGTAAATTTTAGGTATTCTCAGTTCAAGAAGTATGTGAGATGATGTATACATTAATTGCCTCACTGAACCATCATGCCATGAGTAAATGTTTCAAAACATCATGGACATGATAATAAATACAATTATTCCTGGACTGTTAAAAAAATCCCAATGTTTTGTTTAGTGTATTGGTTTCCTGAGAGGTAGACTTTAAAGTGTTCACAGATTCTATTATGTCATATAAAAAACCACTTTTTCTAACATCACCATAGATCCTAGTGGGAAGTGTTCATACATTAGAAAGCTATCAAGCTCATGGTTGCAGACACAAGCTTTCCCAAATTCTACATTTTCCCTGAAAGTTCAAAACTTTTCATTGGTACAAATATAGTCAGTTGTCTCACTGGGAGTGTGAACTTGCTTCTTGAGAAATGTCTGACAACTCAAATACGAATAACCGTCTACCAGTTTATCAGTTAGTCTTCATGTAAAAATTGTGCTTTGTGCAAAAGAGGAGCTAGTTCAGTCTGATATATATTTAAAAATATATCATTTAAGTGCCTTTGCTCTCCCTTTTTACCTTGGAATGTAAGAGCACACTGTGCATTCTCCCCGTGTGCCTCACAGAATTTTAGAAAGCACTGGGATCAGAAGTTGAGGCTTAGCAAAGCTAATACATTTTTATAGCATCATGAAGAACATTCTCTCACGACACCCCCCACCTTCCCCACCCCTTTACTGTGAACTGCATGGTGAAGAATACAGTGGCTGTTAGTGAGCATTGGCGCTGCGGCCTTCATTTGTGTCAGGTCCCAATAGTTTTCTCCCCATTGCTTTTGTACCATCAGTTCAAATGTCAACACAGTGACAAGAGGGATGTTTTAAAATCCTTTGAAATTAGCAAAGGCTCCCTCAAAAGGGTCTCAAGAACCCTCAGAGGCCCATGGTTCACATTTTGAAAACTGCTTCCTCAGGGGCCCAACACAGTACCTTACATACAGTAGTTGTTCCTGTTCCTGGTTGGTGAATAAAGGTTTGATTAGTATTTGGATTTAGAAAGTCTTCTTTGACTTAGCACACAACCAACCTGATTTGTACTTACTTACAGACAAGATATCTAAATTAAAATGTTTCAGAAAACAGAATCTTAATGTGAAGCTTTGTAACTGCTCAAATCTGCCCAAATTTAACTTTCTGCTAGTGACAAAATTGGCTTCTTTTTCAGTGTTTCACTGAATGGACAAGGCCTTGTGGCTCAAAATTTGGGGAGTGAGCCCTGTCAGCCTGCTGGGCACAACCTCATACATGGCCAGAAACTGCTTGGCTTGCCAGGGCTATGGTTTTGGTTAGACTGATTTAGATTTAGTTATATTTGGAGTGGCATGATAATCCCATTTTCCTTCTTGTTGTGTGCCATGTGGAATTTATCTAAGTACTGAGCTTCCCAGCACTTAGCAGGGAAGTGCTAGGTGCAGTGGCCAACAAGCTCTCTGCTGGCCTTTGTAGGAAGCTCTGAGCATGATTCTTTCTGAGGTATGGAACAAAACAGCTTTCTACAACCTCCATGGGATACATTCCTTCCTTCTGCCTCTCTTCTGGAAATACCTAAGAATGTCTCTTAACAGAGGTCTTATGAGTAGCAGAAATTAAAATCATGAAAGGACATTTGATCATAGCCTACTGTTGGCCTTGATCATGATTCTTCTTATGTCCAGTTACATCTCCAAAGACAGCTAAGTAGTTAGTCTATGACCTCACTCTATGGTTAAACTGAACACCCAAGATGATAAGGGAAATAGTTTTCTTCTCCAGTCAGTAGCCTTCCATATATCTAAGGTCCGTATGAGCATCTGTTATTGTACAGAATTTTAAGGTATTAGTTCACCAATTAGATCCATCTTTCTCTAATAAGTAGTTGTGGGGAATATAGACTGGGCATATGGTTTTAGGTAAAAAGAAAGACAATTATAAATGAGAGAGTGGCTGTTGAATTAGGAAGAAGAAAACCACAGGGTAGGATGTGGTGATGCCTTACCATTTTCCATTGAGTTTCATTTACTTCTTTGTACTGAAGTTCGTACTCCAGAATTATCCATCCCTTCCGAACATCTGCACTGGGTGGTGGATCCCATCTCACTTGGATGTCTCCATGAGCCCCGGTCACACTGATGTTCAGTAAAGTCCAGTTGAGGCCAACGGGTGGATCAGGTTGCACTGTGAATTCAATAGACAATCAGTACCCAGAGAGACACTCTTGATATTGATGGCCTACTTTCTTCACAAGGGACTAAATTACTTCATACATTTTGATCACTCAGAGTCTTAATTCTTCTAGTATTCCTATTATTATAACTCACTTTATAACAGAGTAGCTTTTAAAAATATATTATTTATTATTATTTTTAAAATATTTAATTCAATAGACAATCAGTACCCAGAGAGACACTCTTGATATTGATGGCCTACTTTCTTCACAAGGGACTAAATTACTTCATACATTTTGATCACTCAGAGTCTTAATTCTTCTAGTATTCCTATTATTATAACTCACTTTATAACAGAGTAGCTTT